ATAGATAGATAGATAGATAGATAGATAGATAGATAGATAGATAGATATGTACAGAGAGAGAAAATAAAAAGCAGAATAGACACATTTAGAAAAAGACACATGAACATCCATCTTGAGTCTCATTCCTTTCATGGCAGCGAGTGATAAAAACATCTGGATAGCAGCTCTTTGATCTGAAATGTTGTACAATTTGGTCGATGGCATTACATAATTAAATTATATAGAATAGGGGGCAGTGCCACTGGATCAGCAGACTGGGGTGGTAGTTCCCTTCTTCTAAAAGGGGGACCAGAGGGTGTGCTCCAATTAAAGGGGCATCACTCAGCCTCCCTGGTAAGGCCCATTCAGGGGTACTGGAGAAGAGAGTCCTATCGTTGGTTGAACCTCAGATCCAGGAGGAACAATATGGGTTCCATCCTGGCCGTGGAACACTGGACCAGCTCTTTACCCTCACTAGGGTCCCTGAGGGGTCATGGGAGTTTGCCCATCCAGTCTACATGTGTTTTGTGGATTTGGAGAAGGCATTCAACCGTCTTCCTCGAGATACACTGTGGGGGGTGCTCCGTGAGTATGGGATTGGGAGCCTGTTTTTATGGGCTGTTCAGTCCCTATACAAGTGGTGTGAGAGTTTGGTTTTCATTGCCGGCAGTAAGTCAGACCCCTTCAGGGTGGGAGTTGGACTCAGCCAGGGCTGCCCGTTGTCACAGATTCTGTTCTTAACTTTTATGGACAGAACTTCTCGGTGTAGCCGGGGGGGTGGAGGGTTTCCTGTTCGTTGGCCTCAGGATTCATCTCTGCTCTTTGCAGATGATGTGGTCCTGTTGGCATCATCATGCCATGATCTTCAGCTCTCACTGAAGCGGTTCACAGCTGAGTGTGAAGCAGCTGGGATGAGAATCAGCACCTCCAAATCTGAGGCCATGGTCCTCAACTGGAAAAGGGTGGATTGTTCTCTTCAGGTCGGGGGTGAGGTTCTGCCTCAAGTGGAGGAGTTCCAAGTATCTCAGGGTTTTGTTCATGAGTGAGTGAAGAATGGAGCGTGAGATTGACAGATGGATTGGTGCAGCGTCTGCAGTATTGTGGGCTCTGTACTGGTCCGTTGTAGTTAAGAGGGAGCTGAACTGTAAGACAAAGCTCTCTGTTTACTGGTCGGTCTACGTTCCTCCCCTCACCTCTGGTCATGAACTCTGGTAGAGACTGAAAGAATGAGATCATGGATCCAGGAGGTTGAAATGAGTTTCCTCTGCAGGGTAGCTGGACTCTCCCTTAGAGACAGGGTGAGAAGTTCAGTTATCAGGAGAGACTCAGAGTAAAACCACTGCTCCTCCACATCCAGAGGAGACAGTTGAGGTGCTTCGGGCATGTCCAACTGGGAGAAGACTGCAGGGAAGACCCAGGACACACTGGAGAGACCATGTCTCCCGGTTGGCCTGGGAATGCCTTGGAGTCCTCCCAGAAGAGCTGGAAGAGGCTGTGGAGAGAGATGTCTGGACCTCCCTGCTCAAGATGCTGCCCCGAGACCCAACTTCAGAATAAGTGGAAGATGATGGATGGATAGAATAATGTATTAATTTAACCTTTATTTTTACATGTTAGTGTAATGAGCCTCGAGGACTCATTTAGAGAGAGACCTGATTTAAACAAAGTGAGGACAACAGTTGACAATCACATAAAAACACATCAAATGAAAAGTAAATAGAAGAAATTAAATAAAACAAAATAAAATCAAGCTACATTATGAAAAATGTGATATGACATGTAGCATACAACACAATATACAGTCCCTGTATGACCGGTGTCAGAGCCTGGTCCGCATCGCCGGCAGTAAGTCGGGCTTGTTCCCGGTGAGAGTTGGACTCCACCAAGGTTGCCCTTTGTCACCGATTCTGTTCATAACTTTTATGGACAGAATTTCTAGGCGCAGCCAAGGTGTTGAGGGGATCCGTTTTGGTGGCCTTAGGATTGCGTCTCTGCTTTTTGCAGATGATGTGGTCTTATTGGCTTCATCAGATCGTGATCTACAGCTTTCGCTGGAGCGGTTCGCAGCCGAATGTGAAGCGGCCGGGATGAAGATCAGTTCCTCCAAATCCAAGGCCATGGTCTTGAGCCGGAAAAGGGTAGAGTGCCCTCTCCGGGTCAGGGAGGAGGTCCTACCCCAAGTGGAGGAGTTCAAGTATCTTGGGGTCTTGTTCACGAATGAGGGAAAAATGGAGCGTGAGAGGCGGATAGGTGCAGCGTCTGCAGTGAAGCGGGCGCTGTACAGGTCTGTCGTGGTGAAGAGAGAGCTGAGTCAAAAGGCGAAGCTCTCAATTTACTGATCGATCTACGTTCCCACCCTCATCTATGGTCACGAGCTTTGGGTTGTGACCGAAAGAATGAGATCTCGGATTCAAGCGGCCAAAATGAGTTTTCTCCGCAGGGTGTCTGGGCTCTCCCTTAGAGACAGGGTGAGAAGCTCGATCATCCGGGAGGGACTCAGAGTAGAGCCGCTGCTTCTCCACGTCAAGAGGAGCCAATTGAGGTGGCTTGGGCATCTGTTTAGGATGCCTTCTGGACGCCTCCCTGGTGAGATGTTCTGGACACGTCCCACCGGGAGGAGGCCCAGAGGAAGACCCAGGACACGCTGGAGGGACTATGTTTCTCGGTTGGCCTGGGAACGCCTCGGGATTCCCCCGGAAGAGCTGGCCCAAGTGGCTGGGGAGAAGGAAGTCTGGGCCTCCCTACTTAGGCTGCTACCCCCGCGACCCGACCCCGGATAAGCGGAAGAAAATGGATGGATGGAGTGATTTTTGGCGTTCTTTTAGAAACACCTGACAAATGTCCAGTGTGGACATTATTTCTGATGTTTTGCCATTTGCAGGTCGGGATCCTCTCTGCCCTCCCACACTTGGTGATGACTATCATCGTGCCCATCGGCGGTCAGCTGGCCGACTTCCTGCGCAGCAAGAACATCCTGACGACCACCACCGTCAGGAAAATGATGAACTGTGGAGGTGAGGAGCCTGAGCTGTAGACGAGCTGAAGATGTCCACATCTGTCTGTGCACAGCTGCCGGGCGTGACCCTCAGCCTTTGCGTCTCTTTAGCAGATGTTCACAGATGTTTTACAAACGTCTATGACTCACTGATCGTGGCATCGATCTCACAACTGTCACCAACACAATGAGGGCAGACAATGTTTCACACCTGATTCAACTGATGACCAGCAGCCTGTGTGTGTGTGTGTGTGTGTGTGTGTGTGTGTGTGTGTGTGTGTGTGTGTGTGTGTGTGACTGATGCCGTCTGTCACCAGGATTTGGGATGGAGGCCACGCTGCTGCTCGTGGTTGGATATTCCCACAGTAAAGGAGTGGCTATCTCCTTCCTCGTTCTGGCTGTAGGCTTCAGTGGATTTGCTATATCGGGTAAGCAACATTTCAAATAAACAACTGATTATTTTTCTGTATTTAAAGCTGAGCCTCTAGTTGTTCAGTTTGTTGTTTTGGGCGGCTGTGGCTGAGCGGTTAGAGCAGTCGTCCTCCAATGTGAGAGTTGGGGGTTTGATTCCACCAGCAGTCATATGCTGAAGTGTCCTTGGGCAAGACACTGAACCCTCATTGCCTCTGATGTGTGTCCCATCAGTGTCTGAATATGATAAAGCTCTGATTAGTCTCATTAGAATGATTTGTTCATTTATCTTTGTAGAGATCTAGTATAGAGCTGTATGAATGGTTACATGAGGCACAGATTGTTGTAAAGAGTTTTGAGTGTCTTGATCAGAGAGAAAGGAGCTGTATAAGTACAGTCCATTTACCATTTATAATTTTAATGATTGATTTCCCGAGTTTAAAATGTATGTATTTGGTCTTAAAGCAACAGTTTAATTATTTGAAGTGTGTTTCCATAAAGTGTATAAACAAATATCTTACCTGCTATAGATAGCTTCTTAAAATATGTCAGTTTTGGAGAAACATATTTAATTTGATGGATGGGCTAACAGTTAGTCTGAGCAGAACAGTTTGATAGTTTTTCCAGTGAGCATCATTAAATTATAATTAACTCTTGAATGAGGTCAATTTATCATTAAACATATCCACACAAAGTTTTGAAGTTATCTGCGAGCACGAACACTGGCTGCTGCAGCTGGTGGCACCTTTCTACGTAATGATGTTGTACTTCTGCACTGTCGTACCTAAATATCTTACTTTATACAAATGTTTGCATGAACCACATGTTTTATACTGGAGTGATTTTAAGATATTAAAAATCATTTCATATCTAAGACTAGCCATTATCTTGTCAATTTAATCAGAAATAAACTTTTCTCCAAACTGAGGTCAGTCAAACAGCTATCAGCAACAGGTAAGACACTGACGGTCTATTGAAGCCCATTTCTATGGAACATTGTCTTCATGAGACTAACTTGTCTAAATAAAGGTGGAATGAATGAACACAAGGCAAACGTGATGCGATCTGTTGGTTTTGTGCTGCGTGCTTCTTGTCTGGGACACGTCAGCAGCACTGGTGAGACACAAGTTTAACATGCGGTTGCAGAAAGGACTGCTTTTGTTCCGGTCATGCTCCACATCTTGTTGTTTTCCTGCAGAGCTCTGGCTGCAGAATCAGTTTCCAGCTTTCTCCTGGAGTCTTTAATAATTCAGTGCTCGCTGTCTCGGGGGACACCAGGCAGCCAGAGTGGGGGAGGAGGAGGGAGGCGACAGTGTGTTGATGCCTCTTTGCAACAAGATGGTCACCATTTGTGCAGATTTATTTTTAGCTGTACTCTTTATTTTAGTGTTCACCCACATTTAGATGTACAAACTGAAAACATTTCTAAAAAGGTTGACTTTGTCTGCATCTTTCCTGGTTATGCCACAGTTGTTCCTCGTTGCAGGTTTTAATGTGAACCACCTGGACATCGCTCCTCGCTACGCCAGCATCCTCATGGGCATCTCCAACGGTGTGGGGACTCTGTCTGGGATGGTCTGCCCACTCATCGTTGGTGCTATGACAAAGAATAAGGTGACGTCTTCACATCCAAACACAAAATTAATACATATTAATTAATGAATTAGTTTATTCCAATTTTGATTACTTTACATTTAGAATAACACATTATTAATTGTAAACAAAACAATGAATAAAGGAGTAGGCTGATTATTACCAACTTGCAGTATGTTGGTACAAACTGAAGCTTGAACAGGTGAAACCATGATGCAGCTTTCTAATAGTGTGCATTTCTATGTACATGGAATTCAAGATTTGCTAGATTCCCTATAAATTAATATAATGCAACAGTTGTAAGCTAATGTAAGACATAAATGGTTACAGAAATAAAAACTGTCCAGAAGTGGATGAATATGTGAGACATGATGACACAAAGGATCTAATACAACATTAAATATCATCACCTCACGGATTAAAAGAACAAATCAGAGATGAAATGAGACTCAGTGACAGTCAAAGTTTGATCACTTACAATAAATATAGTTGTGGTTTTACAACAGCTGTTAGACATTTAGTTAATTCAAGCTTTATTTCTACAGGTGAGTCCCATTGAGCCTCGAGGACTCATTTACAAGAGAGACCTGATTTAACAAAGAGCGATGACAACAATGGACAATAATAAAGGATGCGTACAAATTATTGTTTTTCTTTTTAACAAGTGAAAATAAATTAGTAAGAGCTGCTAACCCTAACCCTGCCTCTCAGCGAGAAGGTTGCTGGTTCAAATCCCAGTCCAGGGGCCTTTCTGTGTGGAGTTTGCATGTTCTCTCCGTGCTGCGTGGGTTTTCTCCGGCTACTCTGGTTTCCTCCCACAGACCAAAAACATGCATGTTAGGCTGATTGGTGACTCTAAATTGTCCCTAGGTGAGAGAGAGAGTGGTTGTTTGTCTCTATGTGTCTCTGTGATGGACTGGAGACATGTCCAGGGTGTCCCCGCCTCTCGCACAGTGACTGCTGGACATGGGCACCAGTGACCCAAAATGGAAGAAACGGGTAAAAGATAATGGATGGATGGAAAATACTATGGGAATTAAAAGGATAATTCAAAGGAAAAGTAGATATATTATAGATATATTTTTAATTTGCATTAATAAGAAGACAAACGTTTTCTCTGTTTCCCTCCAGACCAGAGAGGAGTGGCAGTACGTCTTCCTCATAGCTTCCCTGGTGCACTATGGAGGGGTCATTTTTTACGGGATCTTTGCATCTGGAGAAAAACAGCCGTGGGCCGACCCCGAACTCACCAGTGAGGAGAAATGTGGCTTCATCGATGAAGACGAGCTGGCGGAGGAGACGGGCGACATCACCCAGAGTTATGGAGCTTTTGGGGGTCCAGCTAAAACGTACGGTGCGACCACGCAGGTGAACGGAGGCTGGGCCACCGGCTGGGAGAAGACGGAGGAGTACGTCCAGGAGGAGGCACAGGAAGGAGGCTACGGAGGCTACAGGCAGGACGAGGGCTACTCTTAGAGCACAAACACACACGCGTGTCCTGTGCGCATCACTTTGAGTCAAACAGCAACAAATGACAAACAAGAAAATCTGCGGTCCATCCTGGTTTTGTTGCACAAACTAAAAACAAAAAGAAAAAATGATCGACTCCATGTGAAACGACTAAAATCTATAAATATATTTGATGAGTAGAGGTGTAGCACATATCAGATTGGCAGTATGTAAATGTACCAATATGCATATTGATAATAGATATATTTATTTGGAGTGCAAATGTGCGTAAACGTAATTATTTCCATCCCATCAGCTGAGGCTTCCTGACCACACTGACCATCACTGGTCAGTTACTGGTTTCAGTCCAGCAGCCTGTAAACCAGTCATCTGAGTGTAGATAAATCACCGCACAACACCGACATGAAAGTGGACGCTCTGAAGTTCTAGATCTATCAGTCCTGACTTGTGTCTGGAAACGACCTGAAACACTTTAATCAAGTTAAACGTCTTTAAATGCGTTTTCTCTTGAACCTGATCTCACTGTAGTTCCTCTGCAGCTGAAGCCACGGTTCACATCTTTCATGCACGTCATCTCTGTTGATCTCAGCTCGGAGAAAACATGATGATCTCTACATGTATTAAAACTTGGCACCGTGCAAGGTCCTGGAGCTGAAGACGACCGAGCAGCATCTCCACAGGACGCGTCCAAGTTGAAGATGAGAGAACGTTGTTGATCTGCAGGAAACTGCTGTGCCAAAGGTTCAGCACAAAGAAACACAAGGAATCACAAAAGATACAGAAATAACAGAGAATTATAAAAATAACAGAGAATTATAAAAATATCAGAGAATATAAAATTAACAGAGAATATAAAATTAACAGAGAATATAAAATAACAGAGAAAATAAAAATACCAAGAGTTCAGGTGTTTATTGTGGCGCAGGATTAATTAGACACAGGGAGGAAGGACATTTCAAGTCCTGCCTTTGCTGCTGTTTGTTCAAATATAAATGTCATTTTAACGTTTACTGTAATTAGTTATCTCATGCTTAAAAAAGTCATGTGACATCGTGAGTAGGCGGGGCCACATCTCTGGTGCAACATGGCGGCTCCCATCAGGCTTCAGTCCCGCTGAGCCCGTGTTACATCACATGCAGATGCTGATTTCACATTGACAGGTTTCAGTCCAACTGGGCTCAAGTCCAAAGTTCAGTCCTGCTGTTTTAAAATAGCTGCAGTCTCACATCACTACTTGTCAATAAGTAAACCTTTACGCTGGCTCTCAGTTCCACATGACTTCATGATTTGTGTGATATCTGGTGGTTCTTTGAAGCACAAACATCATCAGCAGCCAGATGTAACACTGTGGATGCAGCCTGGAGCACCTGAGGCTGGAACATCCTAACACGTTAGTTTTAGTTTTTGTCATGTGATGGTTATAGATCCGCTGACACCTGTTGGATATTTTTATCTAGACTGGTCCTGGGGTTTGTGTCACCGACTGATTTATTTTTACAATCCACTTTGGTCCCGGTGAGCTAGCAGCTTTAGCTTGTCAGGTTGATCAGAATGAAGCTCTATTTCTCCAAACTGAGGCTGTTCAAAGAGTTATCTACAACAGGTAGGATATTATTTGTTCATTGCCTTTCCACAAATTACCCACTCCTCAAAATCTGAGCTCTCTATGATTTGATTTCTGGAAATCTTCATCTCCCATCAGTGTAGTGGTTTGTTTTTCTCCACCTTACTGCCAGGTCATGTGTCGAGGTTTTATTCATTTCAATTCAATTCAGTTTATTTATAAAGCTCCAAATCACAACCAAGTTGTCTCAGGGACTTTACAGGAACATTCACATAAAATTAGTAAAGTTCTCTATCTAAGGAATCCAGCAGACAAGATGAATCTTGGCTTCGTTGCAGTCTCCCATCCTGAGCAAGCACAGTGGAGACAGTGGAAAGAAAAACTCCCTTTAACAGGAAGAAACCTCCAGCAGAACCAGCTCAGGACAAGAGACCATCTGCTTTGACCGGCTGGTTGAGAGGACAGGAAGGAGAGACAGACGAACACAGAATGGTAGGTCCAGGTATAGGTCCAGGTCCAGATGTAGGTCCAAGTCCAGATATAGGTCCAGGTCCAGATGTAAGTCCAGGTCCAGATATAGGTCCAGGTCCAGATATAGGTCCCGGTCCAGATGTGTCCAGGTCCAGATATAGGTCCAGGTCCAGGTCCAGTTATAGGTCCAGGTCCAGTTATAGGTCCAGGTGTACCTGAAAGACACGTTAATGATAGAAAAAATAATTACAAATACAAAACAGGTTGAGCAGAGTAAGTAAAGACAGCAGCAGAGTGAAAAGTGTGGTCAGTTTGTCCTCCAGCAGTCTAAGCCTATAGCAGCAGAACTAAGGGACAGCTCAGGAAACCCAAGCCGACCCTAACTATAGGATTTATCAAAAAGGAAAGTCTTCAAACTGGACAGTGTGTCAGCCTCATGGACAGAAACTGGAAGTTGGTTCCACAAGAGAGGAGTCTGAGAACTGAAAGATCTTCCTCCCATTCTGCTTCTGGAAACTCTAGGAACCACAAGTAAACCTGCAGTCTGAGAGTGAAGTGCTCTGTTAGTAAAATATGGAACAATAAGATCTGTAATATAAGATGGAGCTAGGTTGTTGAGGGCTTTGTAGGTTAGAAGTAAGATTTAGAATTCAGTTCCGGACTTGACAGGGAGCCAATGGAGAGAAGCTAAAACTGGAGAGAGATGATCTTAAGCAAAACGTTCAAGATTTATGATCAGATATATAAAAATACTGAGGGAGCACAAAGTTTATGTCCTTAAAAAATGGTTTGTGAAATTGTGTGAATCAAATCAGATCAATATTGAGAATTGTGCCAGAATAAAGACGTTTAATGAAAAGAAAATATAAATATTTACCGAAGGATGAAGTAATGTTAATTTTATTAACCAAATATTGTTAGTGAATATTATTAAATGTCCTGAAGACAAAAACATCTTTTAACTCATGCAGGATTTTTACAAACATCCATCTAATCAAGTCATCTCGACCCTGCAGTTCGGTCCAAATGTGATTTAAGAACATCGAGTGTTAAAACCTCATCTTTGGTCATTTTTGATGCATTTCTCCTTTTGTGTGTGTAAAATGTGTTTAGTGTTACAGCATCATTCTCAGACAATTAAAGACACTGAACATGTCGCGTGAATAACTCGTAAAATGACATTTAGTGCAGTTTTTAAATAAAGAATAAATGAGTCGATTCAAACTAAACTCATTGATAATGATAAACAATAATTGCCATTTTCTAATGAATAATATTGTTTTTATTTTTAATCTGAATTTTGCCTTTAGTTCAAATAAAGGACAACAAAGTATCCAAAAAGAAGAAGGATCTTAGGAAATGTAATTGTTGGTGTTTTACAATTAAAATGAAAGATAAAAGAATTTGTGAACATTCCTGAACAATTATTTTATATTTGTTTACATCTATAAGTTACTGAAACAAGATGATTTATTTTGTAGTTAAAGTGAAGATACAATAGAAGTGGCAATCACTAATGCACAATTTAAACTGCTCGTTGTGCTTCTCCCACTACGGAACAAGACATTTTATAAAGCACTAGAAAATAAAAGCATTTCCCACCTGGGATGAACGAGATCTGCCAGAATCACATGTTCTGTTTTTAGTCACTTTTACTCTGACAGGGTCTGAAGGGCCCGTGTGAGTCACTGCACCACGTGTGTGTGTGTGTGTGTGTGTGTGTGTGTGTGTGTGTGTGTGTGTGACGACCTCTTGTCACTGTAAAAAGTACATTTGTGATTTATGCATGGAAATAAGTGAAATTTGTTGTAAATGTCCATTTATTTCTGTTTGTTTCACGCTTTTTGAGCGTTTGTCTCAGAAACTGTTTCTGTTGCTTCAGTTTGTTTGCACAATTAACCAAAGATGTGAAAATAATATTTAATAAAGCTTTGTTTTAGCTGAAAGTCACACCTTCTTAAGGCAGAGACTGGACAAAGCAATAAAACCACAGCAACAGCTCTGCTCAAACGTCACGAGTAGGTTTGAGTTAACTGATTTGTTTTTAATGCGTTCATTTAAAAGTTGTGTTTTTTGTGGCAATAAATGTAGAAGAATAAGTTGTAAAGAGAAAAAACTTGTATAAAATCTAGTAGTAGAGTCCAACACAAAGAGGTTCGGCTGAAAGAGGTCGAGGTGTTTGTGATCGGGCTGCTCACCAGATGAGAATGATAAGGAGCTCCGTCGGAGGCGGACGCTCCTCTTGTTCCTCTTGTTGCTTTTTGCTGTGGCTCACACTGAACGTGTCCCTGTGCTGCTGGTCCTCCTCCCTCTGCGTTTAGTTTGGACCCCCACTCCACAGCGTTTGTCCTGCAGCCTGCCGTGTCACAGTGTTCACTGACATTACCATGAAACCTCAACATGCCATTTGGACAAAATGACAAACGTGCAACCTGAAATATAAAAGTTTCCTGTTTTTGTGCCTCTGAAGTTACAGTGTGATTCTGTTGATGTGTGTGTACATCGAGAGGTTTGTTGATGTCAAAATGAAATAATCTATTTCCTTTTTGATATATAAAAGTTCAACAAGTGTGTGTTTGTTGTGAGTCTTTGTTCTGACAAGTGCAGAAGAATTATCTTAAAGAATCTCTGAGAAGTGGTCACTGCTCGGTCTCATGCTTTAAACTGACGTCTTCTTAGATTACGTTTCAATCAAACCTTGAAAATTCTTCTTCAGAAACTCAAAGTACTCCCAGATACAGCCCAAACTACCTTTAGATAAATATGTGTAAAATGTTCTCAATTACAGACATTCTTGTGTGTTTTAAGTTCGATTGGCTGTGACGGCCATCTTGATTTAACTCTATAAGTCAAAGAATTTTAGATTTTAAGATTATTTCCTGAAAGTTTGATTAAAATCCATCCAGTGGTTCATGAGAAGCACGGTGGATCAGTGGGTAGAGCTGCTGCCTCTCAGCAAGAAGGTTATCCCAGAACAAATCCCGGTCAGGGCCTTCTGGGTGGAGTTTGCATGTTCTTTCCGTGCATGTGTGGGTTTTCTCCAGGTACTCCAGTTTCCTCCCACACACCAAAAACATGCATGTTAGACTGATAGCTCTGAATCGTCCCTAGGTGAGAGAGAGAGAGAGAGAATGGTTGACCCATAAATGAAGAAGCGAGTAAAGATGATGAATGATGGATGAATGGATGAATGAATAGATGGATGGATGATGGATGAATGGATGGATGAATGAATGGATGAATGACAGATGGATGGATGGATGAATGGATGGATGGATGAATGAATGGATGGATGAATGAATGGATGGATGGATGGATGAATGAATGAATGAATGAATGGATGAATGAATGGATGGATGGATGGATGGATGGATGGAAGGATGGATGGATGGATGGATGAATGAATGGATGAAGTATGGATGGATGGATGGATGGATGAATGGATGAATGAATGGATGAATGATGGATGGATGGATGGATGGGTGGATGAATGAATGAATGAATGAATGAATG